GGGGGGGGGGGGGGGGGGGGGGACGCGCGGGTGTGGGGGGAACTTGAAAAGTAACGAGCTGCCAATGGGTCGGCAGTATCGCCGACTTCTGGCGCAACGGGCACATGACCCCTCGAGGATCACGTCGGGGTGCTACATTTGAACCTCGCGGATTCCGCCCCAGGCGGCGCCCCCGGCCCTGGTGGTGTCTGTCTCTTCCCGTGTGTGTGTGCCAGATGGGGGAGGGGACCGGGACAAGTGGCGAGGGGCCTGGGTGCGGGCATGTGGTCCGCGTCTCCCCCCCTACGGGCCTTCCTTTTTCTGACCTTCATGAGGACCTTCCATGCGTTCAGTGTTGCTCTTTCTCTGGGCACCGCGAAGACGGAGCACAGGGGGTCCGAGTGGCGCATCCGACCGTGTCGGTGGGTGCCGGCCGCAAAAAGGGGTGGCGAGCATTGCGTCAGGGCGAGCGTTGCCGCATCCCGCATCAGGGGCGGGTCTCCCGTGGTCGGCTCGGCGATCTGCCCCCCCCCCCCCTTTCCCCGCACGCGTGTGGTGTACGACATCGCTGGCACGCGTGTGTTTGCGGGAGCCGCCTTCCTGTGGCCCCCCCCCCCCCCTCAGCGTGAGGGGCCGGTGGCACCTCGCTTTCTCTCCCTCGCTCGCTCTCTTTCGCTCTTTTAATTTGGCTCCAGCATGTCCAGATTGTTTGTGGTCCCAGGACTGCACAGCCACTCTCGGGGACCAGCCAAAGGAGTGTCCGCCCCATCGGGCCTGGGCATCCCCCCCTGATGCCCGGTTTTGAGGTCGGCCCCCCTGCCCCCCCCCCCGCCCGCCACCGGGCTGACGCGTGTGCCCTGGTGGTCGCGCGGGCTGCGTCCACGGGTGGCAGCTCCCCCCCCCCCCCCCCCCCCCCCCCATCCACCCCCCCGGCGGCCAGGAAGGCCGCGGCCCCGGGCGACGAGGTGGCCCGGTTCCCGGCGGAGGGCCCCGCCGAGGGCAACTCATCCAGCCGGGTGAGCATCAGCCAGCCGGACCGCTCGGACATGCTCACCTCCAGCGCCCTCGCCCCGCCCCCCCCGCTCCGGTTGCGGGCTGTTGTTGCTGGTGACCTTCGGCGTGTGCGTGTACGCAGCCCTCCGGCTCTTCGCCACTGCACCCCCCCCCCCCCCCCCCCCCCCCCCCCCCCCCCCCCCCCCCCCCCCCCCTCCCGACGCTCGCCCGCCCGCCCCATGGAGGGGAGCGCCGGCCTCGAGGCTCTTTTACCATGGTGGGCCCCTCCGTGTCGACCCCCCTCCCCCCCCCCCCTCGGCTGCAGCCCGGGCTGCGGCGCCTGCCTCTGATGAGAGGGCGATCTCCGCGCCCCTCGGGGGCCGCCCCTCGAAAGATGTCCAGTAATCAGAGGTGATCATCACTACCGCTTCCCCTTTCCACTCTATTCCCCCCTCCCTCCCTTTCGCCCCTCCCCCCACCCCCTATTCTCAGCGCGCTTGCTCCCATCCGGCACAGGCCCAGCTCCGAATCCACCTCTTGATTCCTCTCTCTCTCTCTCTCTCTCCCCTTCCCCTCTATCGCCGCCATGTCCGCCGATACTGCCGCCGCCGAGCCGATCGAGCTCACCATGGCCCGCATCATCATCAAAGCCCTGGACGACTTGAAGCATGTGCGACTCTCCGCGTCTGTCCGCACGCGAACATACGCCTGCGACCACGCCCACATTCACGCCCCCCCCCCCCCCCCCCCCCCGCGCGCGCGCTAACGTGCTGGCCACGCCCCCGCCTGCTCCTCCATGCTCCAGGGCTCGCGATCGGAGTTCGACATTGTTGTCAAGTCTTTGGTCAACGAACAGGAGCCCGAGGGCCTCAAGCGCTGGATCGTTGCCCTCATCCAATGCGTCTCCTCTATCACTCCCTCGTGCGCCTCGGTCCCTCCTCCCTCCTCCCCTCCTCGCTCTGCGTGCGAAGATTGTGATCGGCTGCCCACTGACGCCATCTTTTCATGTTGACCAGTGCTGGTGACCTGGTTTCGGCCATCCTCTCCATGGAGTGGGTCTTGAGCGACCATCATCATGTGTCCCTGTACCTGGAGCTGATCGAGCAGCTCCTCGCTTGTAACGCGTCCTTTTCGGTGGCCTGTCTGCGGATGATCGTGTCCAATTTCGGCTTCGGTATGTTATCTGCGGCCCGATGGCCACCTCCTCTCCCGTCCATCTGGCTAACCCCCCTCCTTCCCGCGGCTCTTTCGCCCTCTTTCCCCTCCTCCTACCGCAGCCAATGGGCAACTTGTGCGTGAGGCTGCCAACATGCGGATCCTCCGATCTGCGGTCATGCCGGAGTCGCTGCTCGCGCCGCACGACGGATCACAGGCCCCTTCGGCCACCCCGGACGGTATTCCCGACACGATTGAGGCCGCCTTCGAGCGGGTACATTCGGCTCTGGCCTCGGCGTGCAAGATTGTCCCTGTGGCCAAGCTTCAGCTTCCGGAGATCCTGGCTGAGTTCTATCCTCACAAGGCGTATGTCGAGGCGAATCCATGCATTGCACATGTTTCTGTCCCTCCTCCTCCTCCTCCTCCTCCTCCTCCTCCTCCTCCTCCTGACACTGACATGCTGCCCCATTTGCCTCCCTCCCTGGCCAACCCCCCCGCCCCCCCCCCCAAATTCATAGTCTCGATACCGCTGCGCACTTCTGGTATATGCAGAATCTCCTGCGCATCGTGGATTACCTGCCTGACTTGTTGGACTGCGTCCTGGATCTCTTCCTGCAGCGTCTGGTGCAGATTGACGTCGAGCTCCAGCTGGATGCCGACGAGATCTCGCAGGTGGTGCAGTATGTGGCGCAATTGGAGCAGCACCGCGCGGCGGCCCTGCAGCAGCAGCAGCAGCAGCAGCAGAGCGACACGCCCGAGATGCGCAACAGCCATTCACCCAATGGCGAGCCCATGACCGAGGCCGATCTGGCGGAGGCCCTGGTCCTGCCGCCGGATGTGGCCAATGCCCATGCCCTGGTGCTCAAGATTGATACTCTCTTGAAGATCGCCTTCGATTTCCTGAACAACTGGTGCGTGCTGCCTCTTTTCTCTGGCCTCAGCCAGCTACCCATGTTGCTTCGGCCGGGTCCCGCCGCCCGCCGCCTGTCGTCCGCCGCCCGCCGCCACGCTCACACTCATTCCCATACTTACCACACATGTCGTGTGTGCATGGACACACACACACACACATAGCCATCAGCATCTTGATGAGGCTACCTGCCTGAAGGTTTTGCAGGCACTGCTCCGGCCCTTTGAGCGGTATGTCGTGCCGACCAATCAATCGCGCTTCGCGCAATTCCTGGTGTTCCACTTCGCCAGCCTGAGCCCGGCCCTGGCGCAGCACTTCATCACACACATGCAGCGTCTGCTGCTGGATCCGTCCAAGCCGCTGGTCTCGCGGCAGGCAGCCGCTTCCTACATTTCCTCCTTCCTGGCCCGGTCGCGAACGGTCACCGATGAGCACATCCTTTCCATCCTTGCGCTCTTCTCCGAGTGGCTGCACAACTATCAGCAAAGCTTCGAAGGGTCGCCGGACTTCTCCACTGCATTGAACCCGCTGCGGCATTCGCTCTTCTACTTCATCTGCCAGGCGCTTTTCTATGTGTTCTGCTTCCATCATGCGCGAATTGTGGCCGCCCCCGGTGGCGGGGTCCAGTTTGTCCGGTCTCTCAGCTGGTCGCGCCTCATCAACAGCCGGTTGAATCCCCTGCGCATCTGTTCGCCGAGCGTGGTCGACGAGTTTGCCACCATCACCCAGCGTCTGGAGATCGCCTACTGTTTTGTCATCATCAAGCAGAATCGCTCGCACTTGGGCTTCAGCAGCGCGGTGTGTTCCTCTCTCTTTCTCTCTCTCTCTCTCTCTCTCTGTCTCCTCTTCTCTAACCCCCTGTCCATGCGTCTTTCTTCTCCTGCCTTCCTCCCTGCCTTCCTCCCTGCCTTCCTCCCGACTTCCTTGCAGTCCTCCACCGTGGACTTTAGTTCCTTCTTCACCTTCGAGCCGTATGGTCTGCCACAGACCCGGCACTTTGTGGACCCCTACTTCATCACTTGGCAGGATGTCCAGCAAGTCGGGACGGGCACCACCGGGTCAGCGGCCGCGGAGGCGGTAGCCCATCACCCGCCGGGAGCTGTTAGTGCCCCGACGTCTCCCACGTTGGCCGGCATGCCGACCCTGTCCTCGGCCCTGGCGCCAGGAGCCTCTGAAGGGGGCAGCATCGCCAGCACCCCGTCACTGAACATCCCCCGGCCGACGGCCAACCCCTTTGCCGCTGAGCAGGGCATTTCGGCTGGGTCTTTCGATCCGCTGTCCCAGTCGCTCGGGTCTTACCAGGATGACTTTACCGATCTCATGGGCAGCCCGGAGTCCTCTTCCATGGGACAAGATCTGATGATCCGGATGCGCGGTGGGGCTTCACACGCGTCGACCGCCCTGGGGGGTGTTGCCTCCAGTGCCAACACCGCGCAGCACCGTGTCCAGGTGGGCTTCCATCTGCCGGGGAAATAGGCTGCGAATTTCCTCCTCCCTCCCTCCCTCTCTCTCTCTCTCCCTCCCTCTCCCTCCCTCCCTCTCCCTCTCCCTCCCTCTTCTCCCCCCCCTTTCTCGGCTCTGCCCTTGGTTCTCGCTGGTCCGTCCCTTCTTTCCCCTCCCTGCCCCCGCGATTGTCCGATCGCGAGCTCAGTCCTTGTCCGTCCTTCACACACACGCACACACTGCAAAACGCGCCATTCGCGTCGCACACATTGCTCAATACACCGCGCGCGCGCGCGCGTGCGCGCAAAAGCACTTCCTCCTCCCTTCCTGCTTCCAATTACTTCTTTGTAGGGAAACAGGGGAGGAACATGGTGTTGGCGATGTGGCGGTATGATGCGGCGTCGACGGCGGTGTAGTGGTGGCGATGGTGGTGGCGATGGTGGTGGCGATGGTGGTGGTGATGGTGGTGGTGGTGATGGTAGCGATATAGCAAAGCACAAGGGTGAGGGAGGTATCTATGCTCGCCCCGGTGGGGCATTTATTGTGAGGTACTGTTCCCCGGCCAGGGGCACGGAGGTGACATGCCGGCGTGCGCCTGGTCATGACTCGGCCAATCCCCTTTCCCTCTTGTCCGAGTGCGGCCGGAGGATGCAGACGCAGGTTCGGGCAGGGAGGGGAGAGGCGAGGACAGGAAAAGGGGCCACGTGGCAGGGTAGATGTGAAGAGAGGGTGAGAGGGGAGGAGGTCGCCCAGGATCATGTCGGGGAGCCGGGTCGCGGTCACTGGTACAGGTAGTCGCCGCCGACAAGCGATTCCGCCCCCTCCAGTAGCGGAACGCGAAGTTCCGGGCGCACGTCGAACTCCTTGAGGAAGTGTGCCCGAATGCTAAGATAGGCAATGAGCAGACTGAAGAATAGGAATCCCAAGAGACCACAAAAGAGCGTGGTCAGGGACCAGACCCGGCCATGGCGGCGGAGGTACCCCTCGACGTCGGTTTCATAGAAGTATCCCATGGGAGTTTGGTACACCAAGTATGCCTGGGTCCCATACTCGAAGTCCACCTGGCAGTAGGAATCACACTCGAGGATGGCATCCTCCAGGGGGTAGGACCGAGCTTGCATGATTTGGCTGACAACACACTCGCCGTCCATGTACGACTCGCTGGGATTGCTCAGGACAAAGAGGTATGGCGAGTTGGAGGACAGCTCGATGGTCCAGTTGCCGCGAGCGTGCGCGGTCACCGGCAGCTCCAGGGCATCGGAATAGTCGATGGCCCCGGTGCCACGGAACTCGGAGATGGTCCGCTCTCCGCGCAAGAGCATCAGCATCAGATCGGCCCCACTGCGATTGTTGTAGTGCACATCCAGCTGGCTGCCGGCCTTCACAAAGTACTCATTGGACACCGAGCGCCTGGGGTCCACGGTGTACGAGCGCGTGATGTTGGACGTGACGATGGCCGTGGGCCAGGGCTCATGATCGAAGACGAACATCTTCATGGGCTCCGGCGGCGGTCGCGGGGTGGGGGTGGGACTGGTGGTGGCGTCGTCGGTGCTCTGAATGCCGCCCGAGGTGTACTGGCGGTCCCGAGCATTCCCGGCCATGGCGGCAGCCATCGGGCTGCGCCGGGCATTGGTCCGGCCCAGGGAGAAGGGGCGCCCTTTGGTGGTCGGCGCGCCCTCGGCGAAGTCGCTGAAGGAGTTAAATTCCACAGCCATGTGGAAATTCGGACGAATACGTTCGGCCAGGGATTGCGATGCCGGGGGCATGGCCCGGCTGAAGGTTCCCGGCATGGGCACCAGGATGAAGGTGGTCCCGAGGCCGACGAAGAAGGCGATCAGTACCAGGAAGAAGGCCGTAGTCATGGCATTCTTCCGACGTCGGACGTGGTCGCGATAGGCATACGCCGCACGCAGGGGATTCATCTGAACCTGGGCACCGGAGTCGAGAGAGGCATTGTAACGTTTCGGGGCCGAGTGCAGGAGATGCGCGTTCTCCGACACGAAGGCCGCCTCCAAGCGGGGGGATCGAGAGAAGGTCTCGGTTGCCCCGTGCCCCGGAGCGAAGCCACTCGCGTAAGTCGAAGGGGAGTAGGTGGGACCCGGTGCTGGGGCCGGAGTCGAGCCGAAGGCCGAGGCGGAGGCCGGGGCTTGGTTTGAGGGCATGGGAGCCAGCTCTGGTGAGACCACATTCTTGAGGCTGGGCCCCAGTAATGGCGGG